CTTAAACTCCTGGAATGCTCCATTTGTTGTCAGAATATGTCTATCTTTTCCATTTATACTTACCTATATAGTGAGCACTATTGGCAGCCTTTTGTCATTTCATCTGATCTACCTCACCACTAATCTGCTGTGATTTACCATCTGAGGGATATCCTGTAAGTAGGGATATAATACCACTGCATGCAGTTTTATCCAGAGCTGGTTATAGCTCTATAGTATATGAGTTGGCATTTTTAAACTTATATGGTGTATGTTATACAGTCTACTACCGCGTTGCACTATTGGTCCTTTCTTTTTTTTTGCTCTCTTTCATATGCTGCTATGGATTGCTATTTTTAGGACTGTGTCTTATCATCTGGTACCAACAATTAAACCATCTGACCCCTGATCAATTGTGCTTTCGCTAGAATCACTCCACTACAACTGCCCTCTTAAAAGTTTGCAATGACATCCAAACTGGCATGGAACAAGGAGCCCTAACTGGAGCTATTTTCCTTGATTTTGCAAAGGCCTTTGACACAGTAGACCACTACATTCTACTGCACAAACTCAAAAACTCAGGTATTGGTGATCGTTCGCTAACCTGGTTTCGATCGTATGTATCGGATTGCTCGCAATATGTGTCAATTTCTGACAGTGACTCCCTCCCTCTCCCAGTCATGTGTGGTGTTCCCCAGGGCTCCATTCTCGGCCCCCTACTATTTACATTATTTATAAATGATCTGCCTAATGTCTGCAAATCTTCAAATGTACACATGTACGCAGATGACACGGTAATCTATGTGAGGAAATCCAATCTACCGCAACTTGAGGCTGTGCTCCAAGACCAGTTTACAGAGGTAGAAAAGTGGATCGCAAAAAACAAACTCTTCCTGAACACTGACAAAACTGTCACAATGATCTTTGGAACAGTACCTAAATTACTCAAATTACACAATTCCCACCTATCCATCAAAACAAATTCAAATGGCACACTGACCGCAGTCCACTCTTTCAAATACTTGGGTATGATATTAGACCCCAATCTATCTTTTGGCCTACACATAGAAAAGCTTGCATCTAAATTTTATCCAAAACCAGGTGCCCTGTACAGAAACAAATCCTGCCTAAGGCCTACAGTAAAGGAAAAGATTGTACAGCAAATGCTGATGCCAATCATTGATTATGGGGATGTAGTATATGCATCTGCATCGCAATCCCACATTAATAAACTCAACACATTGTATAACTCGTTCTGCCGATTTGTGCTACAATGTAATTACAGGACTCACCATTGTGACATGCTAAAAGAACTAAACTGGCTGTTGCTGGAATCCAGACGCAACCTTCATCTTTCCAGCCTTGTGTTTAAGAGCTTTTCTGTGAAACTCCCACCCTACCTGAATAAAATGCTTTCCCCAGCTGTTCCACTTCCTATAACCTCCGATCCAGTACCAACACTTTACTTAGTCTACCTCAATACAAAAAGAAAGCAGCCCGATCCTCCTCCTACAGAGCACCGCAACTGTGGAACGACCTCCCGCACAATTTAAAATCTTCCCTAAGCCTAAAGTCCTTTAAGAGATCCTTCTCTACATACCTCAAAACAGAATGCACCTGTCATGGTTGATTATATATTTCCTGTCTGTTCTATGTTACATTTTGTATATATTGTGTATTAATATTGTTTTTGTATTTTATTGTACCCTAATGCAACAATGCAATGATTTGTGGACCCATGACAACGAGAGAAATCTCAATGTATCTTTCCTGGTAAAATATTTTATAAATAAATAAATAATTAAGCAAAGTTGTCCATTAAAGCAGATTATTTACAGTAAGTAGATGGATTGCTATTTTAGGACTGTGTCTTATCATCTGGTACTTTTATTTTTTATTTTATTTTTTTCTGGACTATATTGTGGACTTTTTCAATTTTGGTGCTTTTTTATTTATTTATTTTTTGCATTACTGGCACTTTTTCTTATTGTGTTATAAAATGTGACGGCAGATAAGAACCATTTGGTCCATCTAGTCTGCCCAATTTTTTTAAATACTCTCATTAGGCCCCTGGCCTTATCTTATAGCTAGGTTAGCTTTTAAATATAGTCTCCTTCTTTACTATGTTGATTCCCTTTATGTATTTAAATGTTTCTATCATATCCCCCCTGTCTAGTCTTTCCTCCAAACTATAAATGTTAAGATCCCTTAACTTTTCCTTTGAAGTGTTATCCTGTAATCCATGAACCAGTTTAGTAGCCCTTCTCTGAACTCTCTCTAAAGTATCAATATCCTTCTGAAGATACGGTCTCCAGTACTGTGTACAATACTCCAAGTGAGGTCTCACCAGTGTTCTGTACAATGGCATGAGCACTTCCCTCTTTCTACTGCTAATACCTCTCCCTATACAACCAAGCATTCTGCTAGCATTTCCTGCTGCTCTATTACATTGTCTGCCTACCTATAAGTCATCAGAAATAATCACCCCTAAATCCCTTTCCTCGGATGTTGAGGTTAAGGCTCTATCAAATATTCTATACTCTGCCCTTGGGTTTTTACTTCCAAGATGCATTATCTTGCACTTATCCACATTAAATGTCATTTATCACAGCTCTGATCATTTATAAAAACATAGAATGTGACAGCAGATAAGAAAAATTTATTGGTGCAACCTGTATATCTTTTATTTTACTTCTTAAGTCCAGACTCCATAGTATCCCAACTGTCCAATCTCCTTCTCTCTCGCATGAATATGCATTATGTCAGAAAAGAGACTCTGATTGATTTACTTTAAACACCAATAATAATGAAGTTTAGAGATACACAATATAGCAGAGGGATATAAATAAAGAGTCAGCATTACTATAAGATCGATGAGTCATTCACCTGGATCACCGGTCCAAGCATCAGTCTAACATCCTCTCGCATTCTGGCATTTCTTTTATTTGTGTTTCTTAGCTAAAAAATCACTCTTTAATTTAAATAAAAAGTTTACTTACGTTGAAAGATGTTCTTCAAGTCAGGAAATAATTTTAGGAAACATTCTTGAAATATGTAGTCAAAAAAGATATTAAATTGTATTTGCTTCTTTTGTATGAGACAGAGGCTTTCATAAACCACTCGATGACTGGACCTCTCATCTGCTTGTAACTTCTAAAAACAGACAATGGCTGTTACTTGTATGCATACTTATCTAAAAGGCATATGTCACCCATCTGGACATCAAACCATTAAATAAAACATTGAAAATCACTTATAACTTATATCACTTATAATAACTTATTTTATTGATGTTTTCCACTTAAATAATTGTTAAACATTAAGATAATGATACTGTAAGCCAGTAAAACCCAGGAACAGCCGGAGCAGACGTTTTGGAGAAGGAGAAGCTGTGAAATTGTGTTTGTGCAGGAAAAAATTTTTTTTGATGAACTCAAAATTAATCCATAAGTTGAATATGAAACAAGGCATATGGAACAAGACACATATTAGCGTACTGCAGTGCAAAAATGGCTACAATATTGCTTAGCCTAATGGATTTGAATTTTGCAAAACCAACTCTGAGTTAAAATGATATTATTATATCTGTATTAAAAAATATATTAATTTAGAGAACTTGTTTAGAGAATTGTCTCCCCTTTGCAATCTTGTATGGATGAAAAATGGGAAGCAGCAGCATGAGTCAATTTAGTTTGAAAAAAGGAGATATGAAAAAAATGAAAAGAAAATATGAGTGGGCAAATGACGACGCACTTACCTCTTCCACCTTGAGAAGAATTAAGCTTTCCCACACATTTACATGATTATTAAAAAGAAACACAGATTTTGTCCGGATGGACACATTACAGGGAAAATTAGCAAATCCCATCTATAATGGCAATTCTTATATTTACTAAAGCCAAATGCGGTGAGCCTGAGCAAATCTGCAGCAATCACCCTGATGCATTCGGTCTCTGGATTAAAATCACTGTTTTCCCATCTAAATCCTATAAAAAGTATAGGATACGGAATATTACCAATGCACCTGTTTGACTAAAAATTCAGACTGAATGCATCGAGTATGCACATTCGTAAGCTATCATTCGCTTGCTTTTTTTTTTATTTTACAGTGAATGATAATGTTAGGTACTATTTGCCCTAAAAATTAGCACTATCAATAATACCCCCATATTATTTAAGGGATTTTTAAAAACCTTTCTATGCTCTCATTTGCCATGTGGCAGATTGGGACATATCTACTAAACTTTAAAAACTAGTTACTTGGCAGCTATTGCTGCCCAGCCACTAGAAAGGCTGCATTTCATGGGAATGGGGCCTGTTAAATAACAGAAGGGGTCATTGTTAGAGTTGAGCGGACACCTGGATGTTCGGGTCCGGCTGGTTTGGCCAAACTTTGAAAAAAAAGAAGTCAATGGGGACCCGAACTTTTAGCTACAAAAATGCCTCTAAAAAAACTCCTGGAAAGGGCTAGAGAGCTGCAAAAGGAATTAAAATGGGGGTAAGAGTAGGACAAGTGCCCTGCAAACAAATGTGGATAGCGAAATCACTTAAAATAACATAAAAATAAAAAATACAGCTGAGCCATAAAATAGCACTAGATGGAATCTTTGAATTTAGCTTTGGAAGAACATAAATCAAAATCTAAAGCATGGCTGTCAGGAGGATCAACAGAATTATCCATTTGAGAGAGGGTTGGAGTGCAGGGTATTCTCTTTCAGTGTTCAAACTGAGCTCAACTCCTGATGCATGGAGAAAAGGCCTTCACAAGCCTCTGCTATTGTGTACATAGTTTATACTAAGTGACCCATAGGTTGAGGAGGCAGTGACCGTGGCGGTGAAGGAGGAGGATGAGTATTTTATGTTTTTTGTTTTTAATTGTGGGAGCCCACAAAATATTGGTACATACAAATAAAGAAACATTTGCGGCCTGCGTTGCATTTCTTGCAGTCCTGATGCATGGAGAAAAGGCCTTCACAAGCCTCTGCTAATGTGTACCTAGTTTATACTAAGTGACCCATAGGTTGAGGAGGCGGTGACCATGGCGGTGGAGGAGGAGGATGAAGTAGCCAACACTATTTATATATATATATATGTATATATATATATACACAAGATATATATATTTTAATTGGGGTAGCCCCCAAAATATTGGGACATATAAAAAAAGACAACTCTATTCTGAAGAGTAGCTGTTGACCTTATAGTTGCGCAGGAACTTTGTTGACTCTAGAGAACCTCGGGCAAATCGCACATCCCCGTGGCGGCGACTTTGCATGCGGATGTCATCCATATCAACTTTCGATGCTAGTTTCTGCCCCTACCATGGTGACCACGGGTAATGGGGAATCAGGGTTCCATTCCGTACAGGGACCCTGAGAAATGGCTACCACATGCAAAGAAGGCAGCAGGCGCGCAAATGGCCCACTCCCGACGCGGGAAGGTAGTGACAACAAATAACAATACAGGACTGTTTTGATCAAGTCCACTTGAAATCCTTTAACTCTGATCAATTAGAGGGAAGTCTGGTGCAGAGCCACTGACCCGTGCGTGCTGCAACTGAAACTCCACTATCGCCTGCTGCTGCTCGCAAAGTCTCATGAGGCGGTGAGCGGGAAGGCCGAAGTTACGCTGCAGCGCCGACAGGCGAGCAGCAGCAGGGTGAAAACACCAAAAGCGTGCACAGCCGCTACAGTGAATGTCACATCCTGACAGTGTCTGGGTCCTGGTCACTGGACTGCCCACCTCACTGTGAAACTACGAATGGATCATTAAATATGGTATGAATCCGAACTTTGCAGTTCGGGTTCGCTCAAGTCTATTATGGATCCTTTGATCGCTACATGTATTACTTGGATAACTGGTCATTCTCAAGCTAATACATGCCGACGAGCGCTAGGGGACGGCCACTCCGCTTTTGCACCCTGCTCCCTCTTATGCTGTGCTGGTGCCTCTGTGCCACAGCGCCTCTTCCTCCAAACTGCACATGTCACTCGCATGACCTTGATTCCATGTGGGGTCTAGGACCTCATCATCTTCCACATCATATTCCACCCACTCCTCAACCCTGCCTTCCTTGCCGGTATGCACACTGCAGAAAGCCACAGCAGTTGACAACTGTGTTTTTCCAGCATGTAAAGTCTGCAAAGGACATATGGAAATTGTTTAGAATTTCCCCAAGGCAACAGTTTTCCCTATAAACTGACCTCTCAGTTTAACTTGGAAGGGTATTGCCCCAGAATTACAATATTGTTGAAGTACCTCTTAGCTATTGATCACTGGTTTAAATATAGCAGCTTGTTATCTGGTAGTTTCTAATGTAGAAAATATCAATCTGTTTTCTATCACTTAGATCTGTGTAACAAGTGTTATAGGTGTGAAACAATATTACAAGTGACCGATGTAGTAAATTTGAATCAAACTTACGCTTCGATTTGACTCTCAGATATGAAGTGAACACCCCAAATATACTATTTAGTGCCAAAAAAAAATTTGACTTTTTAAAACTCCAATGTAAGCAGCACTTTAGCAGCAAAACAATTAGAATAAATACTGGAAGGGTGTGAAAAAATAGAGTAATATAATCAAAAATAAAAGGTATTAGAGAACATAAAAAAGTGAAAAAGTGTTTAAATTTGTATGGCAGGATTGTTAGCCCAGGTAGTGAGAAACTCTGGGTAACAACAATCTATGCCAGATAATATACTTTCATACACAGCATGAGTAAGAAAGATAAACAGGCATAGTACCCTCAAACTATGCAGCCTGCCAAGATACCTCTGAGGAAGTAGGGCTATTCCCTACGAAACGCGTCAGACTAATTCGAGAGAGTCCTCACAGCGATAGAGTGAGAAGGTGAAGAAGGTGAAGAGGCACGAGCATAGCAATCCGGCGATCGGTTTGGAGTTCATTCTTCTCAACAGCACGATCTGGAGAGCAGTGTCGTTCACCTCAAAGTGAGGCTCGAGGTGGAACGCACTGTGACACGCAAACCGACCTCACAGGTTACCAGCATCTGAATACTGTATGAGAAATCACCATCCATACCCATCCGTGCCGACAGCAAAGGTCTCTGTACTATACTTACCTTTTATCACCTATTGCCTTAATTGTGGACATATATTTTAATATATTTTTATATTTTTCAATAAATTTGACTTTGATACTTTATCACTCTCTAGCGATATAGCTATCTTTTTTACATTGCTTTGAGCAGCCAGTTTTTTATTTACTGGTGTCTGCTTTTTATCATAGATCCATAATATATATGGTATCTTGGCAGGCTGCATAGTTTGAGGGTACTATGACTGTTTATCTTTCTTACTCATGCTGTGTATGAAAGTATATTATCTGGCATAGATTGTTGTTACCCAGAGTTTCTCACTACCTGGGCTAACAATCCTGCCATACAAATTTAAACACTTTTTCACTTTTTTATGTTCTCTAATACCTTTTATTTTTGATTATATTACTCTATTTTTTCACACCCTTCCAGTATTTATTTGTCAGCTCCTGGATCCCTATTGCTGCTAATCTAGTGGCAATTATCTCTTTTATATTGTTCTAATGGGTTTTTTGGTGGATCCCTATTTTTATCCAGTTTAAGAGCTGTATATATTAGGTCTTCTTCTCCCTCTATCTCTTTGTATATATTTTTATGCAAAACCATTCTTATAAAACAATTAGAATGTTTACAAGTACGCAGTAGGCACACTATTAGACGCTTCTATTTGACTCTCAGATATGAAGAACAGGCTCCAAAATTTACTATTTAGCAGATTAGCAGCAAAACAATTAGAATGTTTACAACTGCGCAGTAAGCACACTATCAGACGCTTCGATTTGACTCTCAGATATGAAGAACAGGTCCCAAAATGTACTATTTAGCAGATTAGCACCAAAACAATTAGAATGTTTACCACTGCGCAGTAAGCGCACTATTAGACGCTTCTATTTGACTCTCAGATATGAAGTGCACTCCAGGCCCCAAAATGTACTGTTTAGCAGATTAGCAGCAAAACAATTAGAATGTTTACAAGTGCGCAGTAAGCACACTATTAGATGCTTCGACTTGACTCTCAGATATGAAGAACAGGCCCCAAAATGTACTATTTAGCAGTTTAGCAGCAAAACAATTAGAATGTTTACCACTGAGCAGTAAGCGCACTATTAGATGCTTCTATTTGACTCTCAGATATGAAGTGCACCGCAGGCCCCAAAATGTACTATTTAGCAGATTAGCAGCAAAACAATTAGAATGTTTACAAGTACGCAGTAGGCACACTATTAGACGCTTCGATTTGACTCTCAGATATGAAGAACAGGCCCCAAAATGTACTATTTAGCAGATTTGCACCCAGAAAATAAGAATGTTTACCACTGAGCTGTAAGCACACTATTAGACGCTTCAATTTGACTTTCAGATATGAAGTGCACCCCACTAAAACACTATTTAGCAGTTTAGGACCCAAAAATTTTTAAATTTTAAAACTGCAATGTGACAACAGTATTTGACGATTCTATTTGACTCTCAGATATGAAGTGCACCCCACTAATGTACTACCCCACTAATGTACTCTTTAGCACCAAAAAAAATTACTTTTTAAAACTCCGATGTAACCGCGGTATTTTAAACTTCTATTTGACTCTCAGATATGAAGTGCACCCCACCCCAATGTACTAGTTTGCAGAATTCTTTCCTAAGCTGTCCCTATCAGTGGCAGCATCCTCTCCCTACACTAATAAGACCGCATGTGCGTGCGGCGCTACGCGACTCCAGCTTATATATAGAGGCTGGGTCACATGCTGCACTGGCCAATCACAGGTACCCTTGATAAAGGCAGCCAGTTGGTGCCGAAACGTTGGGGGGTTTGGTGACTCGTGTTTCTGTCTTGAGGCTTGTAAGAATTTTTGTGGTAATTTATTATTATTTTATTGTATTTGCCCTTGCTTCTGTCACTTTGTTTATTTTTTCTTATGTGTTTTCACTCTGGTACTTTTTTGTACATAATAAAGCTAAATTTTTTTGAGATTGTTATAGTGTGCATTCTATATTCTATATGCACTGGCCAATCACAGCCATGCCATTAGTAGATAATTTCTAAGGGCACGTGAGTCAAACGCTTGTTGATTGGCTGCCCTGCAGCCTTTGAAAACGCGCCATTAAATCGCCGAACACCGAACTCCAACCCGAACGTACAGTGATATGTCCGTGTTCGGGTCCGGGGTCCAAAAAACCTAATGTTCGGTACGAGCCCAAACTTTTCAGTTCGGGTTCGCTCAACTCTAGTCATTGTCTCTATTAAGCTCTATTGTCAGCTACCCCATGGGTTTGTTTCTCTCTGCGTTCACAGCATAAGGCCTATCACTGGCTTTCCATGAAAAGCACTTAGTAGTATGCATTTGTAATGTGCGAAAGATAAAATTTGAAGAGTTATTTAAAAAAAAAAAAAAAAAGATAATTCCATATGAATTTAAAGAAAATGCTAATTTAAAGCCAAAATTAACTGGGAAACTTGTGCCAGTCAGCTATGTTGCTAGTGTGGCTAGTTTGTCCTGAAATTTTAAATTCTCTTTGAATTCACTTTAGTTAATATCCCTGTCTATGTAAGTTATTGTTATAGGTTCTATCCTTTGTATCTGGCAATCAGCATAAAGAACCAACGTTTCTATTTCTCCTCTTCATTTGCAATGTGTGTCCTGGCTTCGCCTGGATTATACTGTATTGCAGTGTTATTTGTTAATTCTTTAATATAAATTTGAAGGAATAATTGACATCACATTAAAATAAAGGCTATAGGTTCTAATGATTTTCAATGTTTTATTCTGTATCGTGATTTCCAAGAGGCAGTCCCCCATTAATAACAGAAAGGCACACTCACCATTGTTTCCATTTTTGACAGAATACATAAATCTTGCAATCCATTCAGAAACGGAAAAGTAGTTGTAATAGCATAAGAAATAGCAACTTTTTTCACTTTAAAAAATATTTTGCATTCTTCGTTACTTTTGGAAACACGAGGTGCAATTACATACTGTCCAGCTGTATTTTCTGTACAAATAAAAATAAAGAATATTCTAATTAATAAACCTAATATTGATAAAAAAAATACAAATATGTGTGCTAGTAGTTTCCTTAATGAACATAAAACTATGGGAAACCTAAAAATACATACATTGATTCTCATAAATGGACAGAGGAGATCATTAACTTGTTTGTAAATAGCTTTTCAATAAATAATCATGCACATTTTCATCCTTGTATATTAGTAAACTGGGATAATTAATAACCTAGAAAATTCATAGTTAATTAACAAGTGAATTGCATGCAAATTAGTTAGTCCAATAGAACCAGGGGAAAAAAAAAACATATATCAAATAATTTTAAAAGTTCATCCAGAAATATTAAATCAATTTAAAAGCTTATCTAAAATATTACATACATGCTTTAGTTAGTTCTACTTGTAGCTACTGTGGGTTTGTAAGAACAATAAAACTAAGAGTTATTATTATTTTAGTTTATAAGTATATTTTCCTGTTCTTT